CCCTTCCTTCTCCCATGATTGTTCTCTCCAGGGCATGTGTCTACTTGAGGTAAATGTTTAACTCACATGCCTGTACTTTGTTTGGCAGTTTTCTTTACTTTTTTTTTTCCTCAGTTGATATCATCAGGCAAAAGTAAAGTTCAAATTCCTTCCTGAATCTCTGTGTGGTGGGTACTAAATTAGGAATACAAACGCTCTTGTGAAATAATGTCCCAGAAGGGACATTGACAGGAGAATGAACCTGCTTTGTCACAAATTGAGAGGGTTATCCCTCAGTTTTAGCTCCTGACTGACTCTGCCACTCACTTGCAGTGTGACTCTGGTCTCCTGAGCCTTGGTTTTCCCATCAGTGCAGTGAAAGGTTTGGTGTTTCCAATTCAGTTGGCAACTTCCTGGACAATGTGGCATGTGGGACATTTGGAGACAGATGACATATTCACACCCCTAAGAAAGAGGGCAAGAGCCCTGGTGGTGTAACTGTTAAGTGCTTGGCTCTTAACTGAAAGGTTGGAGGCTTGAACCCACCCAGAGTCTCCATGGGAGAAAGAACTGGCAAACTGCTTCCATAAAGATTAGAGCCAAAACAACCCTGGAGGATGGGGAGGAAGGAGGCACATGAGGTCTCTCTGAGTTAGAATCAACTCCATGGCACCAAACAACAACAAAAGACAGGGCAAGGGCTCTGCCATGTAGTGAGTGCTGCTGTATACCAGGTTCTTCACCTTCATTATGTCACTATGCCATCAGTAGTGGTTAAACGTGTGTGGACATGGGAGTCAGAAAGGACTGGATTCCAATCTCAGTTCCCATCTACCAGCTATGTGACTTGGGGCAAGTCACTGTCCCCTCTCTGAGTTTCGTTGTACTCATCTGTGACTTCATAGGGTTGTTGTGAGTCTTTAAGGAGAGAATGCCTAAATAATGCTTACACCAGAGCCTGGAACACATAAGAGCTCAATATCTGCTAGTGTTTCCAATGATTTCTACTGTCATTAGTCTTGCCTTCCTGTGGGAAGCCTTTGGCCTTGACCATTTGAATTCTGTTGAGCACAAACCTTATGCAGGCCTGCCAAGCTATCTGGCCCAAGATCTCTCAGCCATGTATGCACAGCCAACCTAGATCATCTTGTACATACCTAATCCATCTTCCTGGATCCCTGCACCACCTCACTGTCCCTTTCTCCTCACCCTAGCTGCTGCCTACCTCTGGATGCTCCAGTCTCAGCCCAGCTTACCTGCTGAGCCTGGTCCACACTGGTATCCCCATATAAGGCTTTGGTTGAACAACTTGGTTGAGCATGAGTCATGGCCCTTTAAACAATCCACCTCTTCCTTTCAGGCAGGCCTCCTGTGGTACCTTAACTCATGATGGCACTCCTTTGGGATACCACAGCCCCCATCCATCAGGGATAACCTTCCAGGCATCTACTAGAACATGTATGTGAGGGAGTGTAATTTGCCCTTGGGCTTTGCTAATAATGAACACATCATTAACAGCCCTCAAAGGCCCAGAACTTTGCACCAATGGTGTAGCCTCAATTTTCATTATCCTATCTGAGCCTCACAACAGTAGAGGAAACAGGAAGCAAAAAATGGGATACAAAAAGTCCAAAAGAAGGAAAATGAGTTTTAGAAGAGTAAAATAGCTTGCTCATGTTAACACTGAGGCAGAGTTGGAATTCAGACCCAGGGCTCCATTCCCTGCCCAGTGCCCTAACCTTTACAACAGTATTGTATAGTGTGGTCAACAGGGTGGGGTCCGGGGCTATTAAAGATCCTTCTGTATTGCCTTGCTCGTTTTCCATTAACTTTTATCATTGAATATAGAAGTACCCATATGCAGTGGGTTCCAGAAACACTTCTCCTTGCTCTCAGTATATAACCACAACCTTATTTCCCCTTTCTAATTCAAACATATTGGTAATGCCCTTCTTTGCCTGTTGATTCAGTGGCATAAGGAACCCACATAAGGTCAGGTAGCTATCTCAAATTCCAGTTCAATGAAACCATTATCCCTAGTAGGTGCATTCCACTCTTATTAATGAAAATGTATAAATCAGCACAATATAAAGTTGAAGAGAAGGAAGTATACATTTTGGAACTGGATTATTAAGGATAGTGAGAAAACTACTCCCATTTCCTATCTTGGTTTCCAGACATATGTATCCTGACCAGGCAGGTAACAGCTTCATGTATCAATTGCTGGTCAAGAGTATACATCTCAACATGTGAGGCAGTATTGCAACACTGCAAGGTATTGTCATCCAGTGAGCACCCAAAGTTGAGTCTTCAATAGACCATTCCTCCAAATCTATCAGGCTACCTGCTTCTGTATGATGGGGTACTTTGTAAGATCAGTGACCTGTGGCTGTGAGACTGACTGATTGCTTTATTTCTTTTGCTATGAAATAAGTTACTTTGTTAAAAGCAAGGTCATACGATGAATAAGGCATATATTAAATATATTATAGAAGATGATCCTGGCAGAAACATTGAAACCAGGAAAGACAATTCATATTTAGAATAAGAGACTATTCCAATAATGACAAATTGCTGGCCCCTCAACAGTGGAAGGGTCCAGTGTAATCAACCTACCACTCAGTAGCTGTTGGTTTCCTTGAGTAATGGTTGATTGCAGGGACTCAGCATTGGTCTTTGTTGCTGGCATATTGGGTACTTAGCAGAAGCAGTAGCCAGATCAACCTTAATGAGCACATATATTACCTCCATTCATGCCACGATGGCCATTTTTTATTAATCTATTGAGCAAACACTGGGGTGGCTGGTGTGTTAGACTGGGTTCTCTAGAGAAATAAAAACCAGTAAAGCTTGTATATTTGTAAATATATAGAGAAATTTATCTTAGGAAAATTGCTCACACTCTTATAGAAGCTGGCAAGTCCAAAGTTCCTGGATCAAACATCAAGCTGGAGGCTTTTCCGGCTCCCGGCAACCGCAGGGGCTGAGGAGCTCAAGGCTGGCAGGCAGTCACTGGCTGTTGACTCCAACGACGAATCCAAGATCTCCAGGCCGAATGGTGGACTGTTCACTCA